TTTTTTTTTGAACGATCCATAACACAATTATTTCGCAAATTAAGAATGAGCCCATATCAAAACCCAAGAACAGCCAAGAAGGAGATGTTCTTTCTGTAGCTGGTACAATTTCACCATGAAGCTGTGCGCGACTCGCGAAGCTGCTTTTTAAGTTAAATGCGGGCTCGAAAATATGTAGTTTTTTTGAGTTGGATAGCATGCTAGATGTCAATGACAGCGTTGCTGTACTGACTGTACCGCAACAGAGCTGGAAAAGTAATTCGCTAGTCGCGCTATATGATCACAAATTTGAAGAAAAAATCCAGAATTTTATGAAGTTATTTTAGTATTTGACAATTTTCCTGCAAGTATATTGATTTTACCACTCGCAGGGCGGTCATGGTTGCGGACACTGTATGGCAGGTACGGTAAACGCACATCCCGCAGAGAATATGGTAGATGGTAATACGAGCTGGTGGCAATCTCCACCTCTATCCAGAGGAATGGAATATAACCAAGTCAACATTACTATCGATCTTGAACAGGTATGTAGCTGAAGCTAGGAAGTTCTCGGGGTGAAATGTGAAAAAATATTTTCATAGGAGTTCCATGTGGCTTACGTTTGGATCCAAATGGCCAATAGTCCCAAGCCCGGAACATGGATTCTAGAAAGATCAACCGACTATGGAAAGACGTTCCAGCCATGGTATTATTTCGCCGAAACTCCAGCCGAATGCATGAGGGTGAGAAATTTCTACCAATCGATTATTGATTGATGTGATATCTTTCAGCAATTCGGTATGGAATCCCTGTCACCAATTTCCGAAGACGATCGAGTCATCTGTCGCTCGGACTTGGCTGGAATACATCCACTGGAAAACGCTGAGATGGTTATCAAAATTTTGGAACACCGACCGAGTCGCTTCCAGTTTTCTTCGTCGGAAGCTTTGCAAAATTTTACGAGGGCTACAAATGTTAGGATTCGGCTACTGGGTACGAGAACACTGCAAGGACATCTAATGCATTTGCATGATAGAACGGATCCGACTGTGACAAGAAGGGTAAGTTGACTGATTACCAGATGTGAAATGGGGACAAATGAAAGAGGAGAGCGGTAAAAACCAGTTAATTTTTCAAAAACCCTTATTTTTTCCAAAAAACATAGATATAATCGCGGAAAACTTGAGCCACGATAACATTTCATAGTGGGTTACCTATGTCAGGTTATCACTACAGTTGTAGCACTATGCGGCGCGTCCTGCACCCTAGGTGACTTTAGCTGTCTGCGTGTCTTCCTCTCACGTTCTCTCTCTAAGAGTCATAAGAATCAAAAGGCGTCGCAACTAAAGGTTTGTTGGAATCAAAGCGCAAAAAATAAAAAATGGAAAAAATTGGAATTTCAAAATGGCCTTTAAGGAAATTCATTTCCTAAGTGGGAACTCACAAACTTATTTTTCTGGTTGTTTTTTCATATCTTGAGTTTTTTT